GTGTGACTGTTTTGGTAATTGCAGCTTTTAGATTCGTATCTGAGAGTGACACCAAACTGTTCAGGTTCTAACATGGATATAGTGGAGCATAAAAAAAAAGAGCAGCCTTTATAGTGACTGATTCAACAACAAATGCACTTGTAGGCATGAATTTGCCCAAAGCTTCTCGAGTAAAAATATAGTCTCAAAAGACTAAACGACGTCTCGCCTCTCAACAAATCCTATGTCCATCTGAGGACATGGCAAGGAACTAAAGCCAAGCAAATTATGAGCCTTTCCTGAAGTGTACAGTTTATAAGAAAAGACTGCATAGCAAAAAGAGGTCAGAGTCCAAAATGGTCTCTTAGTGAAGATCTAAATGAGGCATGGGCTGTTTTCTGTAGAAATAATGAAAGTGAAAACTTGGTTTAAACTTCTTTTATAGGATTACTTTGAAGGGGTCTTCAATTTATTTTACACCTCTTATAATGCTATCTAGGTTGTGGGGGGTTTTTGTTTTGTTTTTGTTTGTTTGTTTGTTTTTTAAAAAAAAGCACATGAAAATTTGCTGCACTTTGCCTTAGCAATTCAGGAGGTCAAAACAAAGGGAAAACCCATCTTCTTCACTATTTGGAAAATGACCTAGTAGCAAATGAGATGGCAGATGTGGAACTGTCACTGTACCGTGTGGAGGACGTTCCGGTTGGATTCGTGGTGCTGTGACTCTGTAGGGGGACAACTGTGGGTTAAAATCACAAGTGAGCTTATGCACTGGCAGCTAGTAATTGAAGTACACAGATCATGCTATTGCATCATTTTATCTACAAGCTGTAGAGTCTTTGATGAGGATCTTGTTATATATTGCAAATTATCTGAAATTAAAAGTATAGCAAAATTGCTTCATTTTTCCTGTCCCCTTTCACCCAACCCCCCAGCAGGGACACCACGCTGAACTAAATCTCAAAGTGTTGGATTACGTGTTCTTATTACAATTACTGCAAAACGCTACTTTTAAGTGTAGTGGTGATATTATGACTTGGCAGTTTTAGTATTATATTGATTAATTTCCATTTCAAATGTGATGAAGCTGACATGGCCTGTGGTCCCCAAAGATGTTTGGGAAAGAAATTTTTAAAAAAAAATAAAAATTAGAGCATTTAATTGTAACTGATGATGTGTGTCAGCCCTGGTCCCAGGAGGGCTTACAGCTGCAGCTCCAGAAGAAATGAGAATTCCCTGTGTGACCCTGATGGCTTCTGTACCATGAAATCTTTTTTTTTTTTTTTTTTTAATGGTATTGCAGCTAAGAGTGACACACATCTTTTCCAGCTGGATGTTGAGAGCACGTGTGTTAATGCTAGATCATGCTGAAGACAAGTAAAGCTTTCTAGGTTAACATTTTTTTATTTAAGAAAAAAAAATCACAAGCAGATATATATATATATATATGTATATAAAATAACAGGCAGCACTGCAGCTGGTTCAGTAAATCCTGATGTCTGAGCTGCAGCGTTAGTTTTTGCCTCCACCTCTCTAGTTGATCACCAATGCTATCTTTGAATTAGATCTGGCAGTAGCAGTAATGGAAACCCCGGCATAGACGGGATTACAGGTAGCCAGGCTTTGCTGTGCAGCTGTCTGTGAGAAGGACTGTATGTGGCAGTGTTGAAAATGCTGCTCTCTCTCTGCTCCTGGTCTAGCTTGATGCTTGTCCCAGTGCTCTGACCCATGGGGTACAGGGGTAGGTGCTTGCCAAAAAGCAGTGACAAAGAAAGGACTGGAGGACTTGTCTGTGGCTGGTTGATCTTCTAATGTTTCATTGTTTGGTCAACACCAACATGACTCTGTATGTGTGATTGCAGCACTGGTATTTTATTTCAATCTGATAATAGCACTATTTTGAGCCTCTGAACAGTGCTGAGAAAAGAAGAAGTTACAGAAACCACATCCCTCTACCATTCCAGCATTTATTTCTGCTGTCAGAAAAATTGCCGAGTGACTTGATTGTGTAAAATGAGCTGGTATAGGTCTTAGCAGGAGAAAGGCAACCTTCTACTGAAGTGGACTACAAGCAGAAATATTTCGGTAGGTGGGATGAGTATACCCTTCTGGTGAGCACAGATAATGTAAGGAGTAAACTCTTTGCAGAATTCTTGTCATTAGTGTAGATGCACCAAACAGAGGCTCTCTTAGCTTAGATAATTTCACTTGCTCTGTGTACTGTGACACTTGAGACTTTTTACAACACGAAGTTTCAGTATAAGCCCTGTGCAATAAGACTGTCCGGCATGATTTGCAGACCTGCTGATTGAATGATTGAAGAGCAACGCAACCCTAGATGAACTTTGTTCCTTCTCTCTTGCTCTTGCAAAACACTCCTGTGCATGGGTAATAGATGCTGTGTGGAGAGAGATCTCTGTGCTTTAAAAATAAAAATGTCTTTCAAAAAAGTTTCTGTTGAACATTGGAAACGTGAATCAATAAAAAAATGGAATTGTCTATAAAGTACAGAAATACAGAAAACATCGTTACATAGGAAGAAATTTTTGTTTGTTCAGAGGAGGTGATGGTCTGTCAGATAGTTATTGTTAGATGACAATAACATGTGCTCCAACTGTATGGGTGGTTTTGTGCATGAAATGATTTTTCTGTTATTTCTTTGTCAGACTTTGATTTTGTTGTTATACCTACCCACCACTTTGAACAAGAGAAATTGTTGTTTTGGCTTACAGGAATTGTGACACTGCTGTTACCTGAAGAAAAGAACTGGTTAAAGAAGCAACAGGAAAAAAATCAATATGTACACAGCATTCCCTGGCTTTTATGGCTTTGCTGAGGGACAGTTGTACAAAGTTGACTTCCACTGTCCCTTTCGAAGCAAGACGATGAGTAGGTTTCTCGTTTTGCTGTGTGGTTAACCAACAGTGGAAAACTGGATTGTTTGTAGTTGCTGAAAAACACAAAGTTTTTACCTCATTCGTGGCAGGGTAAACTAATTTATGGTGGTTATTTGTTAGGTGGGTTACTTGTGCAAGCATATTTTTACAAGGTTATTTTGTACTGATTGAATTTAAGCTTTAATGTCTTGAAGTGAAAGACTTATACTACAAACTATTTCAAGAAAAGATGTCATCAGTTAAGAAAGTTTAAGTTTGATATGTGTGGGAAAAGACTGCTCTTGCGCAGGAAGCTTTTGTAAAGTGCTGTGTTTCACAATTATACTGAGACCTGAATTTCCTAGCAAAGCCTGTCATACATTTAATGTAGTTGTGAAGGACAATTGTAAGGGAAATGAGGCTGCATCTAGAATATTGGACTAGTATTGTGCCAGGGCAAAGAAATATCAGTATGGCAAATAAGGAACGGAAATACTCATGCTGATGGAATGTACTGATGTAAGAAAGGGCCAAAAATCTGATGTGCTATAAATAAAGAAAATAATAGTTTTTAGCTGAAAATGTGCACTGGTGTTTGTTTATTATTTTAGAGACTTTTGAGATTCCGAAAAGTGGTAATGTTGCAAAATATG